CAATGACCAACACCTATAGTTGTTCTGGGGGGAAGAAAACGATCATCGTGTGCATGCGTGTGTGTGTGTGTGTGTGTATGTGTGACAGTAATTGAGATCATGGCACGTGGTGAACGAATAAAACATCAAACGGTGATCCAACGCTTGTCCCGTTTTTACCAGCTCTTACCGCCGCCTCACAGTCTCACACATATGCACGCAGCCTGCGGTTTTCCTTGCCCCCAGACCAATCTAAACAGTGGCCCAGTTTACACGGTCCTCTCGACTTTGTTTAAATTGTTTTGAAATACGAAGAAGGCTGATCTGTCTTTCATCCCTCCCCCCCTATCCCCTCCAAATGTGTTTGGTTCGTTCTTGTCATGGGTAATCCAAACGTTCCTACAAGTTACAGACACAGTTTCTTCACCAACAACCATTCGGAATTTGGAGCTGTTATAGTAATTTCCAGGTCATGTCTCATCCACGTAGTAGTTTAGTCTCCTGAACATGGTTGATCACATCGGAAAAGAAATGTGTCTCCGCTTTGAAACAAAATGGTCATATACAAAGCCTGCAAATAATCCTGGAATTACACACAATGCGTGCGACTGGGGCTCGATTTCCATCGAACCTCCTTCAACCTGCTAAATCATTTAGAACCGGGCAATAATGATGGAAAGGGAAACATCTTTTTTCTCTATAATTCTGACCGAAGTTAATAAATAATACTGAAACTCAATGATATGCATGTGTATGTTTGTGTTTGTATGTGTGTGCGCGTGCGTGCGTGCGTGCGTGCGAATGTGATGTGATGGTGGCCAATCGGAATTGGATCATCAACGAATCCAGTAGAGCCACTAGTGCCGGGCAAAAATGTACACTGTGAAAAGGCAAAATTTCACCCAAATCGAAAACACACAAATCTTGTTCGTGCATGTGTAACATACTCTCAGAATGAAAGACAATCGGTGGTGTTGGTTGATGATATCGGTCATTGAGACCCCTGTTTGATCCAACCAACTTTGTGACTTTGTGGATATTGAGCACAGAGAATGAATGAACTGGCTGGACACACAGATCGATATGACGATTACACGGCTGAGTTGGAGCGTAACAGAACTGGATCTTCTCCGGTTCGTATCACAGGTGACCGGGATTTGAGCCACATAATACTCTGAATCACAGCTTTGATATCATTACTGGCACATTTCTGCAGTCGCCATGGGTTGTTCAGCTCAAATAAACGCAGACAGGAAATGGGTAACAAAAGGGATCCACGCCAGGATACAGTGTAGTCCGCCCCGCTGTAGCTGTCTCGATTCAGACCTTCACTGATGTTTGAACGGTTCACAGATCTGACGGGAAATGGTTCGAAGGGAATTTCTTCCTTCGGCATAATGTACAGGATGACAATAGGTACCGATTGGGAAATATACGCGGGTAGACCACGGAGCACAGCTTGAAGTTCATGATACAAATACAGGGACTGTTCCACCGATTCTCGTGCATCAATTGCATAGATCATTCCATTTAGTCCATTCAGAATGTTTTGCATCCCTTCGCTTACGGTAAGAGTGGACAACAGTTCTGCGTCAGTGATCCCCTCGTCTATTTCTGGATGCCGGAACAAACGACTACCCAATATTCGTTCTCGTTGATAGCTAAATGTATGATTGATATGTCCGTGAAATGCGTACAAATAATGAAGGTCAAAAACAAAATCCTCCATTGGTGGTGTGTCATCCAAGATCTTTTTTGCGTGTAATGAAACCCGCGGAGAATTGGGGTGGGAGTTTGCACTTTCAGTTATCCCTCGACGTAGGTTGTTCGGAGTACCGACGGGTGTTTGGTTCGGTGAGACCCCATTGGAAGTGAGTGAAGGATCAATGGAAGCGTCTTTGTGACTTGTCGATGTGCAGCGTGGTTTCAGCGATGGATCATAGGCTGCTCTTTGCGCCTGGGAATACAATCGCAGGGTCAGTCCCGCGCCGAAACCCATACGACCGGGAATCATATCGATCGGCTCAAATGATTTAGTTCTTGCATCGACTAATTTACTGAATAGTCGACTTGTGGCACGGGCATCGAATCCGGGGCCGAACACGGCGTAACGAAACGGTTGAGGTGTCGGTCTTGTGGCACGTCGTGCGGTGGTCATGGAAAATCGCCGAACAATTTGATTCCACCAGTTCAAAATATACTCACCGATTGTCGGTCTGAAATTGCGTGCATGAAACGGGCTGATTTCCGTGAAATTTTCTTGGGACAATGCACCGGCTAACTCAACCTGTGTGTGCAAATGTGGAGGTACGTAACGAAAGAGAAAATGATAAATGTGACATGGATGTAACACATTTAAATCTGTGAAATCTGGTGCAACCTGAGGCTTTTTATCACAACTGATGACGGACCAACGCGTGCCCAACAATTCACACAATTTAGCTTGCCACAAAAACGGATCCATGGCTGCATTATGCCAGTTCGCACAGACCTCTCTACATTGCCACAGATCTTCACAACTGATGTAGCTGAATATGTGGAGGAGGATTTCATTGGGCAAATTGGCCACATCACTCTGCACACAGGACAGTGGACTTGATCGGTTAGTTCCTTGTGGTGGTGTTTCTGACATACGGACAGTTTCTCGCTCGAAAACAGATAAAAACAATTAGATTTTCAAACGAACTGTCAAAAGTATTATCCAAATGAGGTTGATGAGTAGAGAATCCTCAGTGATAGAAAACACAAACCAGAACATATGATCCCATCTTTGAGCATTCTGTTGAGATTCTTGAGATAATCAGCACCACCACCGCCAACACGCGTGTATGTGTGCCCGCGCGCGTGTGCTCTCGTCAACACATCATCTCAAACCAAACTGCTCGGATCGTTTACACGGTCTGCTCACGTGGTCAATCACTCGTGTTCTATCTGCAGCTGCTCGCTGCCACAACCTATAGGGTAGACGATAAGTCTATCGATCCATCCGGGCGAATCGAACGCCTATTGGTTCATGCGAATCAATCGGTCTAATCAGTCATTCATCCATTCATACGTTTGTGTGGATGTAGTAGTAGTACAGTGAGTATTTTCATCCCTTGCTTTGGGGCTGACCATACCTGTGTTTGGATGCAATGAGAGTCGTGTCGTGACCTCACGCTGACGATGGGAAACCATCAGTAGATCTGAAAATCGACAACTGGAATTTAGATTTAATCTGATAAAAATTGTTTCTTTTTTTGGATAATATGGATGCACAACAATCACACTGAATTCAACAATCCAGATATAGGAATGCCATCAAACGGATGTGAAAAAGAAGCATCGAAAGAAAAAGTGGAATAGATAGTGGAAGTGAAAATTATTGTGTATCTGTGCCATTCAGTGTGCTCATTTGCACAACATAATAATTCTATGGATTGTTTCGTTTTCGATGCATTTGAAAAATATGATATAGGGTGTGTAGTACAATAGCAAGCCTAAGCATTCCTGGGGTGTTGGAAACATGAAAGTATGATTATTGAAGTCACTGAAAATTATTAGTCTCAGTTTGATCCTAGTCAAATTTGAAATAAGAACTCATATTTATACAATAAAAACAAATTAGGTTCCAACCGCATAACACTTAATCCCCTAAACAGCTCTTTGTGTGATCGATTTCGGTAATTTTCAATCCAGCTGGTAAATATGCCTTTAACGATCGCCACTGGACAGTAGTGAGTAACAATTTGTGACGTTCCAGTGACGGAGCGAGATTAAAAGTAAACAAATCCAAAGACAGTAACATACGTTACGTAACCTGGGGAAGAAAACGTGACCGGAAGGAAGAACTAATCAACAGTGGGCATTCTTTCTGATTTGCTGTGAAAATCGCCAGGAGCCTCTGCTACCTTGGGTGGAAATCTTGAATCAGTTAGTTTATATAGTTAGGTGCTAATGAAAACTGAGAGAAATGCTAGTCGGCGTGTCAAATATCACCACAATTTCAATTCAACTGCAACAGCAGCGCTGGACGAAACCTAGCGGTTTACCAGCGGTTAGTTGGTATATCCTTTACTTTGCAAAGCAACAAAACGTTATGTATTGAGTTCTGATAATAGTATGAAAAATACGTGGTTTATGCAAGTGATTTTCTGAATTGGAAAGAAACAAGTGTACCCGTATTTCTTTGGGGTCGTTTACCTCAAGTTTAGAAGGAACTAAAAAGATTGGATTGCTTCCAAATTCTTATTTGGTAACTGGAGCAAGTGGGAAACTTCGCTACTTTTGCGGGCGCATCTCTGCCAGTAACTAAGTTTTTGGTTGTATGGTAGCACTCATACAGAAGGTTTGTCCATCCGTTTACTAGCTTAAAACATGTTTAGTGGTACCGCAACCGCTTGCAGGTCCCTTAAGAGTTCAGTGCATGTTTCATCTATCAAACTAGTCGCAATTTATGGTACGGAAATATGACCTTTCGGGGTGCATAAAACATGTGACTGACTTTACTTGGCTTGACCGTTAACTATGAACTGGCTCAGTGAGCAAGGGGTTTTTTGGCTTCCGAACGGTAGGTTTTCAGTGTGAATTCCGGCTTCGATAGAAAAATGGATGCACGATAGTGCATGGTTAATCATTGTAAAAAATGAACTCAACTGAACAAGAACAAAATCATCAATTATTGTTGGTTTGTATACTTGTTTCTTTTTTAAAATTCCGCAATGCATAAAATTTTCAAAGTAATCATATCTTATACACTTTTCGTAAGCTTTGATCATTCCAAGATCCGAAACGGTACTATGATGTTTTTGTGACGAACTTTTGATCTGATTAGGAAAGAATTATTCTGGCGACAACCACAACCGTGCAAATTGAATACCGTCTGCGAGTTATTTTGAAATGAGTTAAAATTGGTTTTTTAATGTTACTGATGTTACATGATTAAATCAGAGGTGAGGAAGTGTAATGTCACGTAATATATTCATGTGATGAAGTGATTTTTAATGGGGTTTTGTGATGGAAAAAGAGCTGTGTATTTATGTACGTATGTATGTATATACGTATGTATGATGTATGTATGTATGTATGTATGTATCTATATATGTATTGATCGATGGATCAATCACACAAGCGCATCGGTCCCTACATTGTAGGATAAGTGCTTGAACTGGTGTAAAATAATTCATTACGAAATACGCACCAGTTACTTATAAATGACAGAAATGCCAGTACCATTATTTTATTATTATTGGGGAATTCATCCACAATGGACAAAGCAGCAACGCTGCGGACGTTTCAAGCCCGGACAAGCAGGATGAGACACGTCCCCTTAGTGAACCTTGTTCGGGTGATTTCCGGTTGTTTATTTATACTTAACTGTTGTAGTTCGTACTCGCACTCGTATTTCGTATACGTATCGGATTCCGCGCACTAATAGTCCGACCCAGAACTAGGACTCGAAACGAAATCAGAAGTCAACTCAGAGGCGGAATGGAATTGTAATATGGGTAAATTAGAAATATACAAGGATATCGTGTTCAATAAAACAAAAGAGTTCATAGTTCATGAGCAATCACCACATTAACTTTAGATCTNAAATCACTTAAAATAAGGTCAACTCCTTGATGCATCCTCTTACTTGTGTCTCGCTCTGGGACAGAGTTCCAGATCGAACACACTGACTGCGAATGACTGACGTCGGCATTTTGATACATCTGGGTTGACCGGATGTGCTCTAAGATTAACGTTGAGGGAAAATTTTAGTAGCGGGCGACACGAATGGCTTGGATTTTGCATTATTTGGTAGACCATAGTCATATCTTCTCTGATGCACCGGTAGTGATTGTAATACAACCCCGACGACTCCCGGTTCTCTGGTATAGATAATAAGGATGTAAAGGAAATTACATTGGTTTGAAGAAGTTCTGAATAAATAGAGGTTAATTAATTCATAACCCTATTTAGCTGTTATTTGTACTAGATCCATGAAGTTATGATGCTCAATGCTGCACATGCATTACACGCTATGATTTGAAACTTGATTTCATGTTTTTGAGGTAGACAATATTGATATTTGTTGTTGAAGGCCGGTTATTTTTCCGAACTCCTCGTGAACTCCGTTAACTGTGTTCGTCGAAGTTCCTTCCACACGCGCACACGTGCTACTCGCATCTCATCATACACAGTGCAGTAAACATTCCTGCAAATTTTAACCTCTCATGAAACACGCACAAAAGTTTGGTGACATGCATCACCCGCTGATGCCGATTTCCTGCACAGTGCTGCCAGCATACATTGCTCATTTGCTGCCTAACTGATAAATCACGATGAACGTGGAATAAGGCAATATATGATCACCTTATCCTTGGTTACAGCTATTCCACGGCTCGGCAACTCGTTTCATAGACTTCCCATGAGTATCCGGTTTACACACACACACACACACACACACGATCAAAAATGTTGCTCAGCTGCCTTTCCGGTTTGTCCTAGTCCGAACCCCAATTTAATAGCATAGTTGTTGCTGGCTTGTTATGAAATTGTCATGCAGCGATCGTAGTGTTAAACGTAAAATTGTTCAAGATGTCCTATCTACAAACACTTGTGACGGTCCTTCTTGCTGAGCTCTTTTTCGAAATGACTGCGTCAGATGCAGAATTTGCGTGATGGCTGATCTAACGCTCCGAGATTGGATAAGTGTCTGGACAAACAATCATGAGGCGGTAATATATTTTCTTGCAGTCTTTTGTTAATACCCGTATTGAGCTAATGATTTTCCCCTGTGCCTATTATCTGATATATCCCAAATAAACAACTTTTGTGATTTTCATTCTGAATTTCTCATTTGAGAGATTCATGCGCCTGTGAACCAGTGTCCCTATTGATTTCGATTTTTGATTTGCAGAAATTTTAGCATGACACTTTCTCAGGGTTCCGACCCTGCAAACCAATTTGGCCAGGCATGCCGGTCTCCAAAATAGGAATGGCCTGTTGCGTACATCGAGGAGGCACACGCAAGACTTGAAGAGACATTGTTTGTGTGACAAATTTTGTCGCAGTTGTGGAACATCGCATTTGATAAAAATCATAATAGATAACCCAACCATGCTTGCTTGTCCGTAATTTCCAGAAGTATCCAAATTTATCACTTCCAATGGAAACTGCATACATTCATGTTACTCCAACGCATATTCAAACTAGAACCGAGTAATAGCAAAACCAGCTGTATACACAGAATCTCTGGTCGATCTTCAATTCCTTCATCGTGTTGTACGCGTCATCATTGCAGTGCAGACTCTTCACTCGCAAGTTCTATCTTCCGTCACACACACACTCCTCCACCTTGGTGATGCGAGTGTCCAGATGATGAGTGCTATCACATTCCAACCAACTGTGCCAGGATGAAGCCGTGCACGTGTTCATCCGCATCGTCATGTGATTGTGACTTATTGTTTCATCACTTCACCTGACCGTTGACACTTGTGAATCTAAGAGACATATTCAACCACATGATCTCCTTCTGGTCTGAAAGAACACAAATCGCAATGGTTCTTCTAAAGACACAACAGTCAGTGCCTCGGTGTTCACACGAACCTATCGACGGGGCATGGAATTGCACCTTGATACTCAATGGAGAACCACTTTACTCATAGC